CACGAGTGATTGTCGTCAAAATTAACGTCATCATGAAAGCACTTGACAGATTGACGTTGTCTAGATAAAAATTTCGGAGCACGAACTTACGATAAGATAAGATTATTAAAAAATGGCACCCTGTTTTTATTCAGTATTTATTTTAGTAATTGTCTGTCAGTTACTCTAAAATTACTGCCTATCGAATTATGCCATTATGTCCTTATTTAGGTTTAAGATTTTTTTTATCTAGTGTGACCATGGAGGTGATCTTTTAAGGTTCTGCACCGAAAAGGTAAAACGGGTACATAAGCTATATTTCATGAACCGTGAAAGTTAGACAGTTGAAATTTTGCAGAGATGATGTATTTGCTGCCTATTCAACAACAAATACTAAAAACCTAAATATTTAATTTCCATACAAAAAACGAGCGTTTTTTACTAATTTCCGGTACGGAACTCGATTTAGAAAAAGAAAAGGTATTATGTAGAAGTATGAAATATAACCAAAAGATAATAAAATTTCCAAACCCCCAAATTTTTATTTTATTTCAATCAATACATTTAAATTATCTTAGTTCTATGGAAATCTGTTTTACTAAGCTTTTTTTGATACATTCATGGATTCCATTGTTAACTTCTTTTGGCATTGCAGAGTTTGTCGCTTACGTAAAACCATTCCACTGAAAATAAATTTTAAACATGGTAAAGAACTAATAATAAGTACTTTATTCCAATTAGGTATTATTAATATACAACAAATACTTTTTGATCTCATATAGAAATATTTTTTAATATAGCATTGTGAATGTACAATTGATTAAAATATAATTATTTGTATGTTATTCTATTCTACGACATAGTCCCATTAATACCTTAGAGTAATGCAATATCAAAATGTAAATAGAAATATATAAATACATTGTATTTCATGATCATCAGTTTATTGATGATGATGGGTCATAAGCCTTTTCAATGATATGATTAGAATCACATCTACACATAACTATGAAAAATGAATGGGACTAGTGCGGGTTGGTGGGTAAAACGATATCGTACGGCGGAATTTCACGAAAGCTGTCTAATGCTGTCTTATACTAGTATAAATAAGTGGCCGTTGGGGTTGGAAAGCTAAGTGTGGGTGACTCTATGCAGTCATCTCATTAGTAAATAAAACATTAACCGACAAATGAAACCGCGAAACAGAAATAACTCGTACGACACACGCGGATGATATCGACCAGTGTAAATGAGGCATGAGCCAGTTTCTTGTGGAATAAATACGCTATAATTCTTCCGAATGCCTACCCAAAGCTTCATCTTTCGAGCTGTCGAGCTCTTCTTGTTAATATTGAAATATTAAAACTCCCATCTCAAAGTGCCTGGGAGAAAGAGAATTTTTGTTATATTTTTCTTGAAGAATATTTTTAGTAAAGCATTGTTAATACAAAATTGTTCGAATATAATATTAAAAATAACTTAAATTAATCAGCTTTTTACTAATTTAAAATGGAACAGCATACCAAAATAGCCAAATTTTGGAATCAATATTAGGTTTAAAATATATTGGAGAGGTTTGGCAGACCTGATGTGATGTTGGTTGTAGTTTTACTTACTCATGTTTAATTTGCAATTTTCATAAAACATTTCGCACATACTGTCAAATAACTTGAACGCGTCTTTACTATTGCCTGCACAAACCATTACTTCTCTGGAATAAAAAGGGTTTATTATTATTTCATAATAATCTTATTACTATGTAATCATAATAATAATAACACTTTATTGTCAACACCACAAATATCTTCATAAACTTATCAAACTAAACACATCAAAGTGTAACATCGGTCTTATCGCTGCCAGACAACCTTTGGATGGAGAGGAATATTAATTGCAACGAAACGGGGGTGTAAACTTAGAGTGGGTAATTCCAAATAAACAATTGAAGCATAATAATAATATACACCAGAAGATGACAGATACAATATACTTACATAAATACATATAACAGAATATATAAATACTCGTACATAAAATATAATACATACAAATACTTATGAAATGAAGAAGGGATTCTTAGCAGTTGAAATATATTAAAAAGACAAAGAATGTTTTTTTTATCATTTCTTTGAAGATATTTAATGATTTAACACGTCTTATTGAAGAGCATTCCAAAGACGCACAGCTTGGACGGTGAAGGAGCCATCATAAAAAATAGTTATATGGAGAGGGGTTTCAAGTTTCAGATTTTCCAATGATAGCGGATTAAAGTGTTCTTTTAAATAGCGCGGATAAAGGGGGTTAAACAAAATATTGTGAAGGAGGGATAATATATGAGCATTCCGACGAAGACAATTTGGAAGCCACTTGAACTGGGTACGAAATTGAGATATATGATCATATTTGCGCAATCCAAATATAATCGAATACAGATGTACAATTAGAATAAAAAAAATAAGACGATTTTGGGGGCTAGTTGACTAATTTTAAAATTTGGCATTAAAATATCTTTAAACAAAATTCAAACGAAAGAATTTTATGCTAACTGCCATCTTTCGATAGGTTTATGTTACTTTTTATTATATTTTTTGATCATTCAAATCAAGCAATAGTGACTTTGAACGTTATATAGTTTCATTAGTCGCTTTCACCTCGCAAAGATATCGCAATAGAAGCAATTTCCTATCATCTACTATAAATTAAACAAGAAAGGTTGTCTACGGTCACCATGTAATTTTGCTCGAGAGGAGCAGAGGTCATGTAGGCTACTAATTAATGCAGATATCCTTGACAAAGTAAAAAGATTATAAGAACTATGCGTCGGTATCTTAACTTTAAAAGTACTTTCTATCTCGTTATTAAATAACAGTTATTATATAAGTAAAACGAAAAACAGTTTTTCATATTACTTTTATAAAACTTGAAAATTCTTCGGATACCTTGACAATAACTATTGTTCGTGCTTGTTAGACAGATTTTCTGTAATAACGACAGTTAAATAGTGAAAAAAAAAAATCCCATGATTTCTCTATATCTTTTATATAAATTTATAGAACCCATTCTTTAGAAAAGTTGTCTTTATAATGAAGAAAGAAGGTGTTCTACTAACTTTTACTTCAGCAACTTACTACTTCTAGTAACCGAAAATAAATAGCTTAATTTTATACTAAGCTTAGTGTCAGCCTTCAGTCTTCCACTACTTGAATTGGTTACTCTAATACTTGTTCTTTCATGCAATTGTAACTTACCTTTATGGAGAAATACAAACAATAATTATTATCATTATTATATAACCAACAAGAGGAATATGTATAATTGCCAGGGGCAGACTGGTAAAAACTATGGCAACATATAAATTATGATGGCTCTTACTTAAGTTTATAATGGGAACATTGGATAAACTCTTTCATGCAGTTTTCCATCATGATATCAAATTCTGATTTTTCACTCATCATTACGAGTAAATCTTCGGGTAGTTCTCGTTCATCTGCTTGAACATTTTCATCGTAAATCACATTGACGTCATCAACAGTCCCATAGATTACTGTTATTAACATAAATGTAACTGAAAATATTCATTATATCAGCCTGTTAATCAGTATAGAACTTTCTCATCTACGTATGTAATCACAAGTACAAGAACCAGTATAATACACCACGTGGACATACACTCCTATTTTTATTTGAAAGCAGTTATAACTTGAGAAAATGTCGTGACTTAAGCAAATATTTTCGACCAACAGACAAAAATTTGAATGATGTTACAACTATCAATCGTTAATAATAATTCCATTTTTACTTTTAAGAGTTCTTACTTCGTTCCAAGTCTTGTTTATTTGTTATAAATATTTGTTTATGCTATAATATTTTCTCTTTGGTAACATAGATACGGGTTATTAAATTTGACCAATTTTGCATTTATAATTCTACACTAAAAATATTCTTATTTAAAGATGTTTAAAAAATCCATCTCGGTGTAACAGGGACGAAGTAGATTTTTGTTGGTGTTAGTGCAGATATGTTTGCAATAACTCCCGTATCTATACTTATCCAGAAGATAAGTATAGATGCGTTTGTTAGACTACGTTGTCCTTTGGTCATCGCTATTATAATATATCTGTCGCTAGATAATAAATTTCTTGTTTCAAACTTTTTAGAGCGTGATTTAGCTGTAGATGGGTTTTAGTTTTATAACATTTTTTTACTTCTCAACTTTATAAATACCTTTGACAAATAGTTTTATTCCTGTCCTCATAATGGTAAAAAAATCTTCTTATATTGTAGTATTATTTTTCATTTCTGTTCATTTCTCATTATTTAAAAATTATGAACTTTAGTTATTTTTTTTAATTTCAACCTATAAGATATTTGTTTCTACTGGGTGCCAAAATAATATTGTGCAATAATATAAAAAAAAAGATATCTTGCAGACTTTTAAAATGTAAATACTTTGCTTAAACGTATTTATTGTACACACTCCCATACGTTCAAGAATCATACTAACTACATTACTTTGTAGCCGTATCGAAATCTCCCATTACATAAAGATGAACTGTGAAATCAACCAAAATGATTTAATCTCAAGAAAGTATTGTATAATTTTTTGTATAAACGCTGTACGAATAGTTATTGTACATAATATCCAGAGAAAGTGAACAGACTCATAGAAATAAAATTAAAAATTAGCTACAGCAAAAATACGATTTATATTTACTTAAAGTAGCTTAAAGTAAATATGGGTACCTTCTACGTGCATTATAAGTTAATTCCATACCGTACAAGATACGCTTTCTGAATAATATTGCATTAATAGTTTAAAGTCTTTGAACTGGAAGCATCTACGGAATTTAGACCGCAGTCATGGTAAAGAATTTAATTTCATATCAGTATTTAGCTTCTAGCTAAATAAACGAGAGATAAATAAAACGTTTGTAAAACTTTGGTTATTTATTTGGTAAATGAAATAAAAACAATGGGAAGTGATTATGAGAATAAAACGAATTCTTTTGAGATTTTATTTAATAAAAAAGCCTACGTTTAGAACTACTTACAATTTACTTTATACAAAATACTATTATAGTACTTCACGTTTCGGGCTCATGAAAACGTATAGTACTATATCGTTGTTCATGTTCGATTAAATCTATTAAGAGAAACAATTTAATTATAATTAATAAATATAGTTAACATACAACATCTTTAACATTAACAAAAGAAATTAGTGAAGAAACTTTTTACACAGGAATTTTAACAGTCAAGTACCCTAAACAGAAACAGTCACAGATCAAATTGACACTGAAAGTAGTTCAGAAGTTGTGCATCTCCACACTATTCGACTCGTGCTATTTGAAGCAAGTTTTTAGTCAGAAAATCTGGGAGCACTGCGATGTTTTCGTGTTCGCAGTCACTGTTTGTTCCAACTGTGCTAATGCTGTCAATTCTGTGTCCATTTTTCTATTCTTTATCCTCGTGTTGTTCTTTATGTTGCTTTTCTTTTGACAGCAGCATAGAATCTCTTCGAATTCCTTCCTGAAGTTGTCATTCAGCCAGCCGTACAGAAGAGGATTGGACACCGCACTCGACATTCCGAACATGTGACAAACTGCATATGTTATTGTCATTGTTTTCTCGTCCATAAAAGGTTCTGGACTAAAATCTGCTACTAAATTGAAAACATTCAGTGGTAACCAACTGATAACGTATGTTGCAGCTATTGCAATCAAAATTGCTGGTGTTTTCTTCGTGGTCCTTCTTCTACCACGAAGTCTTCTATGAATTTGGACATGGGCCATTACAACTACTAAAACTGGTACTAAATATTGGAATATTAAACTAAATACGGAATAGATTGCTCGCCCGTTTTTGATGGGCCAGTCTTCTATGCAGAAACTCAGGGAATCCATCCCTATTAAACCTAATTTGTGAGTTTTAAGATTTCGGAACATATAGAGCGGTGAGGCTAATGTGAACGCCGTCAACCAAATGAAGAACATTGAGATAAGTGCTCCCATCGTTTGCAGACCAGGTCTTGTTGGGTACACGATGAGCTGTGGACAAAAAATATAATATGTATTCAATTCGATAATTTTGACTGGGTCTTTTGTTGTCACATATTTAGCTTTATTACTTCTGTAAAGTTCATATTAGATACAACAATTTTAGATAAAATAGACACAAAAAATGTTCGAAATGATTTTATCAAATTTGGTGCCATTAACTTTAGTAGGAATTTCTTTAATTTATTTTTCACTTTTATACTAACGCTAATGTGTTTATGAATTGAGTTAGGAAAAAAAATTTTTTAGAAGTTGTTAAAAATTATTCAATATATAAAATTCCAATGCACACGTTATATATAGAGAACATATTTTAGTTTTGGAAATTCTTCCGCAACACAAAATTGTAAAAACACAAAGCTATCATTTTATTAGCTATATGTTTGAGTAATATTGTTTAGCATAACACCGAAGCGTTACCCTATTTCACAAACTAGATAATCGATGTTCAGTGCGGTAAAATGTCCTTACACAAGTAGTATCCTTATTTGTGTAAGAGACTATGCCCCTCTTTATCTGTGGTTTTATGTATTATTCTTGTTATTGTGATGTATTGAAAATATCTCGGTAATCGGATTCGCCTATATTCAGATTTGCCTAGAAGTTCAGGAGAAGATTAGCTGATGATGATGAAAGGAATTAACGAAAAATAAAAGACTTGGATGTAGTAATCTGTATCCTAAGATATGTTGGCACTTTTATTCAAAAATTTAAGAAATTATTCATTTTGCGGATATTTTCCCACTGCATACACTTTACATAAATACTCATAGCCTACATGACTTTATATAGTAGACGTCATGGGTATTATTGTAATAACTATTAGTTTTCATGGAGTGTACGCCACACAATCAAAATAGTAGTTTAGTGTAGTAATTTGACATGTAAATCTTACATTGTAACGGTTTGCCGTACCATCGTTTATTTCATCCTAGGTTTCCGCATTCAAACTTTTTGTCTTTGATCTTCAATTATTTTTTTTTACTTAAAATTTCATATTACGAATGGTGAATAATACAGCATATATGTAAACTTTTTGCATGCGGAAACCTAGGATGAAATAAACGGTGGTACGGCACACCGTTACAACATTAGGTACATTCAGAATACTGTGCAAATCATATTTTAATGGGGAGAAATAAAAAATAGATTAGTTTTTAAATTTATTTTATTATTGGTAAAATTTGAACGTTCAAACAATCTTATGCTAAATGTCCCCACTGCTAGGATTAGGCCTTCCTCTGATTGAATAAAATCAAATTGAATAAAAAGCATGGGCCATGACCCATCACGCGGGCCTCACTGGGCCTGGATTGGTGGGTGTTAACGACAGCAGATGCAGCCGGGGCTAACGCCATAACGTGCCTTCCTTAGCACTGAAAAGATTGATTTAATAAATTTGGTCCCCATACTATGACAGGCCATTGAGAAAATTGCTTAACAATCATATCCTACACCAAATGCGCGAACCACCGTACCATCGAGTTTAAATTCCTTTTTTTTCATTTTCATGAAATCAAAATAGAAAGTGCGCGTTCCTAGCCTACTTACGATGCTTTCAATGCAGCTGCTATCAATTACTTACAATCAATTTATTATATTTTATCTAAAGTGAGTTGTCAATGTAGAAAGATGTCAAATATGAACAAGCTATTATAAATCAAATTGTTAGTTTTGGCGCGGCGTTGTTTCAACAACGCGGCCAACCTGTGGGCCAAAGTAAACCCGACATTTTTTTATTATAAAAAGTCATCAATAACCTTCGTATATTTCGGTGACATTGCCAATTTTATCTAGACAGAATCTTATAATTCGATTTCGAAGGTAAACTTTACCTTTAAGTTGGACAACTTAAACTCAATTGAAAAAGACAATAGTAAAGAATTTCGATTTAATATTCTTGTAAAGTTAATTTTTTTATGAAAATGAGTAAATAGGGAATGTTATTGTTTACTTTTCACATATTATTTTATCAACACACACACACACACACACACAGAGAAAGAGAGAGAGAGAGTGAGAGATTTAGTTAGTTTCATCACAATATGATAAAATGAAGAGAAAAAATGTTATTACTCCCATAAAAAAATTGAATATCGTGTTAATATCTTTTATGTATTAAATATTATACCGCAATCAATATTGGATTTATTGCGCTTAAACGGCCTTCAAATAAAATAGCTCTTTTGTTAGCAAAATTTTCACTTTTATGTTTGCTTTGTTACTACTTAAATCAGTATTGGCCATTACACTGTTTAATTGGTAAATAACAGTGATATTATTCAACTGGAAATCGGTATGAAATAACCTCTCTAGTTCTCGTTATAAAATAGAAGAATTATCTTTAAATGAAATATCACCACTTAAAATGAGCAATTTCGTTACACGACTTTTATTATGGAATGTCAAAGTTAGTAGATATTAAATGTTTCAATGTTTTATAGTCAATGTGATATCGCGTTTATTAAGTGGGTTTTATCATTTGTATAGTGCCTTGGTACTTTGCTTATTACTCTCTGGTGATAAACTGATAAATATATAGACTTCCAGTGATACCTATCAATGGATTTAGTTCCCCTAAATTATGTCAACGACCACAGTGGGTGCCAATTCTGTTGCACCAACTTAACTAAAATTTTGTTTAAATATTGCACGTTTCCAATATGTAAATACTAAGATAACAGAAGTAAACGAGTGTTTGTAACAATGTTGAATGAATTAAACCTAAGTTTAAATAGGTTTTCTTATTCGTTTAGAATAAATAGTGGTAATTGCAAATTGGTAGTATAGTTTAAAAATATAATACTCGTAGTAATAATCTTCGTGGTTGAGTGATTGATAGGCTGGTTTTCCTATTATTACCAGGAAAGATCAAAGTTTCAAGAAGCCCTAAAGACCTGAATGTGAAAAGAAACTCTTTTTGTGACCCCGGAAAAACTCCCCCTCGCTTATGCAGGTAAAAAAGGGGGGGCTATCCAAGTTATACTTGTACCCAAAAATCGTGCGTAATCAGAGAGAGTGAGTGGAGAGACCACAGAGCATATAGTGCAGTCTCTCCAGTCGGGTGAAGCTTTATAAAGTTGTCAACCCCCCTCGCCGGGTCTACAGAAGACAGAGAAGCATAAATACGCTGTTGAGATCTCTCCCATACTCCGCACATGAGTTTGTATTTGAAAAGAGTGGTGATACATAACCGTATTAACAGTATTGTCTGATTTTCTCCAGACTACTTACTCTTGTCTTTATTTTATTCAACTACGTAAATTATAGCCTAAAAAGCACCTACGTAAGCTGTAGCTTTCATGTTATTCCTTAAAAAACAAAGGAAATTGGAACATAGGGAAAATGTATCTGAAGCCTTAAACAGGGATCTCCAACCGGGTTGTCCTGAAAGGGATCGGTGGAAGCGTGGTTGACCTAGTTGGTAATACCCACTGCTTAATACCCTCAATGGAGACTGAATTAATAATTTGATTTTCATTTATGGTAAGATTCTCTTGACCATCATCATCATAGGCTATCCAATTCTTACCATAGAATGACAGAATCCCATTTTGAACCGACCATAATCCCAGAACATGAGCTCAGTGTGAATTAATAGGTGAGTTAATCTCAACGTGCTTTCCAAAGCACAGAATACCTCGATATATAAAATTACGATAGCTCATGCACCCGATAACCAGCTTTTTAATAAACTGTTTAACCTTTAAAATCACAGCACGCAATAATACACTCCCAAGGTTTTAAATATACAGAAATATTGTAGTATATTGGCGTGTTGCGCTGAGAAGCTACTAAAAGAAGGTAAGGTATAATTTCCCTAAGGAATACATTCTAGCACTGTTTATTCCCACTACTTTAGATCAGACCTTTGATCCGATTTCCTGGATGTTGTTAACGTCCTGATGTAAATAACACGATTGTTTACACGATTCAAGTCTCTATCTATCTAAAAATAAAGGCGTCTGTTACTTTGACGTCAGTGATAGCAGATTTAAGCAAGCGTTTTGGGATACTTTACTTTGCGCTATTTCGTCAAAATTAATGTATATTTATATGAGTTATGTGAAGTATTCAAAACATTAGCCCACTGACGGTTTTTTACAGATGTGCCGTCTATATACTATAAAGTTGTTCATTCGTTTTATATATTAGAACTATTAAACTGTGGAACTCACTGCCTGTAAATATCAGACGCACACAATTACGAGAGTCCTTTGTTAAATATGTCAAGGAACATTTCCTCAAGCTGGATTCGTCTTCCTAAAATTGTATTCTGCTTTGTATTATTTTCTATATTTTTTTATTTTATTTGTATGTATTTACTTTTATGAATTTTGACATTCTTCTTTCTTTAATACACTAGCCCGCAGTCTCTTTACTCAATCGGCATAGTTTCTTTTAAGCGTAGGTAGCCTGGTAAAGATTGCTACCTTAGCAATAAGACCGCCTTTTGTATTTATATTTCTAATTATATTTGTTATAATGTTTATCTTTTACTGGGTAATAAAGTATATATTCATTCATTCATAAGGGTCTTATGAAGGTTGTTTGTTAGGTAAAGAAATTTTATTTATTTATTTTTAATGCAGAAATTCTACAATTATTTAGTTATATAAAATTTGATTATATACGGTTGAGTAAAAACTTCTCAGACAGTATCCAAAATAATCATTTGCACTTTAAAAACTCAATATTAAGTAAATAATTTTCAATTTTATGTACATTTAACAGGTCGCTATACAATCCTGTTTTTTTTAATTTATTTTAAACCTTATCGTTGTATTAATAAACAAGGATTAGCGTTGGAGTAAATTTTCACTGAGACTGCACTTAGTATTAGTCAAAATTCATATTATTAAACAGAGACTTAAAAAAGGTTAACCTAATATGAGGTTCTACGGGAGTAAGATTTACTCCTAGAAGGTTATAGATTTGTTTATTCTCTGCATAATATGAATTTGGACTCATACTAAAATTTGCAATTTTTG